GAGTAAGTGCAATAAATATAATTTGTGGGGTCTGTCCACAAGTACCTGTTGTCAAGCCCGTAGAAAACAATTTCAGTTTTTTTGGGAAGGGGGGGGGGGGGCAAATAGAAATTTCCACAGGTACTTGTACTCGATTTTTTCCTATGGTACACATGATGAATAAGTGTAATAAATATAATTTGTGGAAAAAAATGTCCAACAAACATTGGGGTTGAATTTGGGGGGGGGGGGGGGGTCCTGTCCACAAGTACCTGTGGAAATTTCTTGATACATAAACAGAATTTAAAAGCATGTATTAGACATCTTTTGAAGGGGAGAGGGCACGGCCGTAATTAAAAGTTATATAGAGACTAGGAAGGAATGAACTGTCATTAAATTTTGGTTAAGAACTATTACCTAAACTCTTCACTTTCACATTTTCAATTACAGATTCTTGTTTTTAAAAAGCTATACATGTACATTTATATGTATCTATTAGATGCATAAATTATGTTATTAATCATTTTATCTTAAAGGAAAAGTAAAAATCTCAATCAAACTTGTTCCGCATATTATGCTCTCTGATTCATTACTCAACAGATGCTTCATATACATGTAAGAAGGGAAGACTGCAGACTGCAGGTGTGATAAATTCACAGCATGCAGCTCCAGCCTTAATTCCAACTTTGTTCCAAAATATTATTATTCAACGCGAAAAATTAGAATTAGCCGATAGAATATTTTGAATCACTTCGGAAATGCTGCCGTAACACCAGACTGAGTTCACAATATCGAGTGATTTTGATTGACAGGTGTAGCGCCGTTGTGCATGGATTTCGTGTAACTATCATGTACTGCAGATTGTGGTTGAAAATAATAAACAAACAGATCTAAAGAAAAGATATTGTATACTGTACAATCATATATTTGTTAAGAACCAGTTCAATCATGAAACGAATTTAGCCGTATTATGTGGGCACATGTTAGATTTGACAGGTTGATTTACTAGTAGAAATTCAATGGACCACCGTCATTTAGGGTATTCCGAATCACCCCGCACATCGCGACTCTCGGTAATTTACCTTACCGCTGTACCTCGCACGACACATGCACAGGTGTGACAACCAAACAGTCATTATTAGTAAGGTCTATACTTATTGCATACAACAAATAAAGAGGTAAACATAATGCGTTAACTAAAAGAATTAATTATTTTAATTCATTAACTTCCTATCCTTTTCGAAGAAAATGCCCGTGTAGAAACGTATTTCTCATCGATGTCGTGGCGTTGTTGGTGGATGAAACATGGCATATAAGGTATCGATAGAACGGCAATTTTATAAGCTTTTGTGAGTATTATTTGTTTTTTATAACACCTCAAAAATATACTAGTTATGGCCGCATTTGTAGCCCCCTACAGTTTCGAACCACGTGTGTACATGCCCCTAGCCAAATAAATTGCACACGCTACATGTATACTTGTTATATGTCAGATTATTATTTTTTTTATAACATTGTTTTTCTTAAATGCAAGGGGTATGAAAGTAAGTTTGACAAAGCAAGAGCTATAATAAGACTATCCCGGGTCCCGGTATACACTTGATCAGTGTTGATCAATGTTCATATGTACGAGTACACGTATGCAAATAATTCGAGAGCTTTTGAAGATTTCAACATACATTTTTGTAACACGCATATTTGTAATAACCACTTTATATACAAAACAAAATTTCATTCTCTTATATGGTAATATGGACGTCGTAATAGATCTGACTGAATGCTTAACATGCCTGTTTCAAAAACGTTTCCTAAGTTATCTTAAGATATGCCTAAGTTATAACTTTAGAAGTTCCTAAGATTTATCACAGCTGTATCGCGAAACAATCTTATCTAAAAAAAAAAAATTATAAGTCATTTCTTAAGTTGTGCCTTTAAGGACTAATAAAATAACATTCCCGCTCTATATACAACACTCAGTATGGTATATATTTTTAGATTCAAAAAGGAAGGGTGCGAGGATTAGGGATTGCCCCCACTTTTAAAGGATTTGGACACAAGTATGCTTAACTTTGCGAAGTGTTTTGCTAGATCTAAGCATTCACAGACACACCCTTTCAAGCCATCTTCCCTTCCGAGCACACGATATTTGTATTTTAATTTTTAAACATTGTTCTAGGCGTTATACATTTACTTTATTTTGTTCTTATAAGGTATCTACATGTAAATAAAATTTTAAAATGAATGCTTCGTAGCGAACACATGCGAGTTTATATTTTTCAAACAATCTTTGCCAATTACTACACTGCATGTACACGCTAGTTGTTTGTGCGGTGTAGAGCAACAATGTATTTCAACATCGAGGTGCCCGCGGCTCTCTGTGGCCACGTGTATGTAAACGAGGACTGGACTACAACACTTAAAGACACAAAGCGACAGAGACGGATGAAACTGTTTGCTATATTACAAAGACTTGAATTATAGTACATGTATATTTGAAGGAATTTTTATTTATGTTAATGTTTATTTAATTCTATAAATAATAAAGGGACATTCACAAGAGTGGTGGTAAAAATAATATGTGCTTAGCATGCGTAGGAATTACAATTATTTACCGAAGCCCCCATTCAATTACAATTGCAGATGAATTAAAATACAACAACACGGGATAGAGCAATACTTTTTTTAAATGTATTGTTGCGTGAACAGACAAAAACAGCGATTAAAATTCAAAATGATTTTTATGCACCAGTGTTTGGAATTAAGATTATAAAAGATCGGTAAAGTAATCTTACTGATTCGATATAATTAAAAACATAACTTTCCATTAATTAATAGCTCTTTGTACAAAATTGACATTATACGCGATCACAAATACTAGCTTTGTTTATGGCCACAGGTGGCTAGTACACTGGTGACCTCGATCAACAGCGTGGGATTCGCGCGTTGGGTTACATAACTAAACATCGAGCTGAACATGGAGACCGTAATATGCATACAGCTAATGATCGTGAATTATTCAATGCATACAGTTTAAAATCACTTACAAAGTTTGTTGTAATAATAAACGTAGAAAGATAGATTTAATATTCTCCGCTTTTGAACACTATTAACCTAATTTAAAAAAGAAGAAAAGAAAGGCTAGTTGTAATAAATAATTTAATAGTGAACCATAAACCACGTTTTAAACCTTATTAAAAAGAAAATTAACATTAAATACCGCAGGGTATATTATTGATAGCAAGTCTGTTTAAGTTATACACATGAAGAGGTCTGATTTCCTTGCCGAATGAAAAACGTTACCTGTTTACCTGGCCTGCTTTCTTATACGTATTACGCAATACCCATGGTATACTCGAACAAAACAACATTTTCATTAGATCAAAAAGGTGTAAAAGAACAATTTTGTTCCCAAGATCCAGATCGAAATATTTACCGTTTTTGAGTTATAAAGCAAAAACTTTTAAGGGCCCAAGATCCCTAATCATAGGGGCCAGCCCCTTTTAAATAGTATAATATGAAAGCCCTTGCAATTATGCACAACTTTTGTTCTACATGTCTTAACAAAATATTTCTAGTTTTCAAGATATAAAGGAAAATATGTCAAATTTTTTGCTGTTTTCCGCGTTCTAACTTTTGACCCCTCTCTAGCGCCATTTTTAATGCAAAAATCAAAAAACAAAAACCGATGTGCACAACTTCAATGCTTCCTCTTTTCAATTTCAAAGGGTTTTGTGCTCCAATTATAACCATTTCTGAGCCTTTGTCTGGAAATAAGAGGCATGCAAAATTCAATCAAAGGAGAATAACTCGTGAACAGAAGGTAATTTCCGAATTGTATTACGGTATTCTGACAGTGTTTTGTAAAGTCTAAAAGCTCTGAAAATTTGAACAAAATCTGTTTAAAAATGAGGAAGATATGAAGCGTCAAAGTTGGCGTCTAGGAAAAAAAAAAAAAAAGAATAATCTTAATCATCACAATCAGTAGAAGGTCTTCCGTTGGAAACGGAAGACCTTAAAAATATAAATTTTATATGTAAAATGGAATTAGAAAAAATTGAAAATATGCATTCTTGAAATAATAATTAAAAAAGAGGGTTTAAAAGAAAACAGTTTATAAAAAAAAAATAAGTAATGAAAGCTGGAAGTATTAATTTGGGTCTGTTTGTTTGTAATATTTTTCTTATTAGGAAGGTATCTCAAAAAGCATTAAGATTTTGGTTATAAAATTTTATATCACAACTCCCCATAAGCTTAAAGAAGAGTTCTTTTGATTTTGAGGTCAAAAAATCAAAGGTCAAGGTTAAAAATTCATACATTCTGTCTGTGTTGAACACTTGTTTCTGGACAATATCTCAAAAAGCCTTTGAGCTTTTCCAATGAAATTTTATATTAAAAATTCCTGTGACTTTATGAAGACCAGTATTGATTTTGAGGTCAGAAAGTCAAAGGTCAGGGTCAGAAATTCATATATTTCAAAATATAATTTCTTGATGATAACTTTACATTTGTAGTTTTCCTTGAGCTTTTGAAATGAAATTTTATAAATCTCAATGGCTTAAAGATGACCCCTAATGATTTTTAGGTCAAAAGGTCAAGGTCAGAAATTCATATTTGTATAACATGGTTTCCTTTTGATAACTTAAGTTATCTTTGAGGTTTTGCATGAAATTGTGTACCATTAGTCAATATACCTTAAAAATCTATTGATTTTGAGGTCAAAAGGACAAAAACCAAAGTCAGAAATTCATATATTTCATACATATATAGTTTTCAGATGAGATCTTAAGATCTTTGTTAACTTTTGCAGTAAATCTTAAGGTCATGAATCTTTTATCTTAAAAAAGACCCCTATTGACAAATAAATTGCAAAAGCTGAAGGAACAAGGTCATTCTTTTTTTTTTAAAATCTCTTCATTTGCATTTTATTTCAGGTCTTTTCCCATTTCTTTTTTCCTTAAGGAGGGGACACAGATTCCTTATTTAATTTAAATGTTTACTTAGTTTTTTTCTTTCTTTTTCAGCTAAACGTCCATCAGCCAGGTATACCAAATTCTCAGAGCACGCCCGATCCATGATCTCAGGGGAGAAACAGTGTGCTCTTTTCTGTGGGGGGAAAAAATGCAAGTATTGTAGGTCAGAGAACTGGACGCCAGACCAAATGCACATAGATGGACTTTACTCAAACTGGTAAAACTCTTTGGCTTTTTTTGTGACTCATTGATTGAGATTGCAATGATGACAACAAATTTTACATGTGAATATATTGGTAACATTTTAAAAAGAGACAGAGAGTTTATATACATGGACAGTTCCTTTACTGAGGATTGAAGAGTTTACAGTTTTTAAGTTTGAGTTTGAAACTATTATTAGTAAATGTAGTTGTAATTCAGGAAATAATCTAAGGTCTATTCTTTTAATTACAGGGTGACAGATAACATTCTTGCAATGGCTAGACCATCAACAAAACAAATTAAAGAACACAATATCATACAGCAGTTTAAAAAGTAAGATACACCAACATCTCTATACTTCCTTCTTACTTACCAAAGTTTACTTCCTTCTTACTTACCAAAGTCTACTTTCTTACCAAAGTTTACTTCCTTCTTACCAGGGTGCTTACCATAGTTTACTTCCTTCTTACTTACTTAAGTTTACTTCCTTCCTTCTTAACAAAGTTTTACTACATTGAGTGGATTCAGCTTTATTATAAACAAGGCTTAGGATTAATTATCTCATTTTCATATAATTTTATACATGTACTAGTATCAAAACATGTATATCAATTTCTTCATGTCAGCATCCCTTCAGGTACACGCAGCAGTCATTTATTACTGTAATAAACTGATAAAAGATGAAATACATGTAGATTATACTTCACTGTGGTCTCTGTATTATGTGTTGTTCTTTAGAAATGACATCAAGAGTGTGTTGAACCTCCAAAAGGCAGGGGAACACGCAGACTGTGGGGAGGGGCTGGAGAAGGCAGGGTTCTCCTATGACCCCCAGCTATTTATGGACAATGGCAGTAAGTTTATATTTCATGTTTTTTAACTTATGATAATTAAAAGTTTCTAAGATAGCTTTATTTTCAGATTATTTTATCTTTGTTATGGGAGATAACTCTGACATACTTATTTTGTGTGTATAAACCTTGATTTTTTTTTTATTTTTCAGTTTTCTTTTACAATTTTGGATGGTAAGATCATATTCTTATCAGAATATTAAAAAGTTTTTAGAATTGTTCGATGCTACACATATTAACTAGAATAAGTGATAGTTGCTTTGCATTAACATTTTAAAGCTGTGATAATGAAGGAAAATGTTTTTGTACTGTATTGCTGGATTAGGCCAAAAAAATAATAGTCTTGTTTCCTGCTACCCTACCTACCCTAGTTTTTTGCACCCGACCCTTAAGTTTTTTTTTTTAGTTTTGGAAGAAAAAATCGGGAATTTCTGGTATTTCATCGTTTTGTCACAGTGACTGTAATCAGTTTTCATGTTAACACAAAACAAGCATTTCATGAAATTCTTGTTTTAAAATATGGACTTTCATAAAATGCCACTTGAGTTGTGCATAAAAAAGACCAGAAATTTAATTTTAAAAGACCATATTGACCTGTGACATGTTTAATTTGATCTTGTATTAGTTCATATCCAAAAAATACCGTCGGAAAAAAATGAAATAAAAAAATAAAATAATTTTCCTACCTACCTACCTACCCTATTTTTTCAGGCTGGTAGCAGGAAACAATACTATTATTTTTTTTGGCCTATAAAGTGAACTCTTTGAAATTTAAATAAATGTTTAAATCTAATTAGAAATCATCATTATGATAATTTAAAATGCAGTAAATTTCATTTATTTTAGTGACCCTTGTGATATGATTAAAGCTAAAAAGTGAGACAATTGCAGCTTTAAAAGTTCAAATATTGTCAATTTAAGTTTATTTTATTACATGTATCAGTGAAAAAATTTTTTGTTTAAGCTTTTGTAGTTTTAAAATTATGTAACATATATGCCTTTTTTTAAATATACATATTCATTGACAAGTGTTTAGTTTTCCAGTTTTTTTGAATATTGATATTGTTCGTGGTTTATTGCTTTTGATATAATACTCATTTACTTCTAAAAATTCAAAACTTAAACTACAGGTTCATGAAAATCAAATGAAGTTAACTAATTTTATTTCATTGTACTCTATAAAAACCTTTGAGAAAAAAAAAATACAAAGTATTTCATGTTAAAGTTAATATCTGCACCCAGGTACTGAAAAAAATGACATGGTTTTAAATGAAATGAGTTTCCTGCTTTATTTTATAGGCCAGACTATGGGGTTGCTGCTCTCAGCACTATACTGGACATGGTCAAGGTCATACAGTTTGGGGTGTCCGAGGGAAAAGTAGCTGTCCACTGCCACGCTGGTTTAGGTGAGTGTGATAAAACACATGATGTGACATAGAGGGAAATTAGAAAAAATTCTAACTAATATCTCAATGGAACAAACTTTTTTCCCTGAAATAAAGTTTATAGTACCATTAATGAATTAATACCACAGAACATTAACTGGCAAGATATGAAATATACAGCTTACACTATTTCCATGTGCTACTAACAGTCAAAACATTTGATGATTAACAATGAAATGGGTGGTACAATTCAACATGGACGTCTGAGAAAACATTGGATTGAATTTCTAGTTTGAAATTCATTTTCAATCAACCTAAGATGTTTTCATTCGCTAAGTGTCAACGTATGATCCAAAAGACAAAAAATTCAATTCCCAAATACATGTACCTACATGTATATAATATAATATTTCTTTCTAATATTTTTTAGGACACACAAAAAATATAGATGATATACTGGTAGATATATTCTTCCAGGTGATGGCCATCTGATGGGTGGGGGGGGAGGGGGGGGGGGGCAAATTTATTTTGTTAAGTCTTGATTATTTTTGTTATATACCTTCACACAAAAGAATAAATTTATTTCTAAGATGACAAGAAATATTATTTATAAACTGTTTGATAAGCAAAAATGGGGAGGGGGAGGGTGTCCAAACTCAAAGCTTTCTTATTTCCAAGATCTTTCAGCCCCCTCCTTCCAAACAGGAATCAAGTGGTCACCTCCTTTTTATTTATATATATATATATATATATCTGGAGCAATTAGTATCACTACATTTATGCTTATGAGCATAGCTGAGATGGATTGAAAATGCATTTCAAAGTAGAATTTAAATCCAATGTTTTGTCAGACATATAGAATTGTACTCACCTATTTTATTGTCCATCATTAAATGTTTTGACTCTAATAGATGGAAATGATGTAAGTAGTTTATTTCCAATTTTGCCAGTTAATATTCTACAGTCTTACTCTAAAAGTCACAATCAAATTTTCTTTTTGAATCAGAGTTCACTTTTAAGAAAACTGATTTCATACTACATGTATTTTTAAATTATGAAATTACTAGTCCATCTGGACATTATACATGTATATAGGTGTATGTTATATATTTTCAAAGTATTTTACATGAATGTAATATACTTAAACCTATAGTCCTTTGTAGCTTTTTGCTTTAATGAATTTGTTGTTCCAATATATATGTGGTTCTTTCTTTTCTAGCTAGTTTTCTTTGTATATGCTTTCAAAATGCAGAAGTGATTTATTGTTCTTGATGACAAATTTTCATGTGAAACTACATGTAGTTCATGAGAGCTAATTAAATTGCCTGCAGAGGAATAATTAAATCAATTTAAATTGAATATAAAGATAAGAACTGTGAACAATAAACAATATGACTGTAAACGTGTTAGGCTGGCAGTCAAGATCAGGTACATGTATTTAATTTCAGGACGGACTGGTGTTATTATTGCCTGTTATTTGGTATACACAAACAGAATGAGTGGCTCAGAAGCTATCCATTATGTTAGAGTTCGAAGGTAATATGGGAATTTATTATTTCAAGAAGGATAATAATGTTATTATCATATACATGTAGGTCCTAGTAAATGTATATTTTCATAGAAAATGCATGTTTTTACTAACTGCTGCAAATTTGTTAGCTCGCTGGTCAAAAAAATGTTGGCATGGACAAGTCATTTTGTCTATCCTATTTCGTAGATCGGCAATCTACAGACATGTAACTAGTTAATACATCTATGTACCATACACTGGAAATAGTCTTTGCCAAGAGAGATAACTCTAACATTTGTTTGTTTTTTTGTTTTTTTTTTTTAAATTTCATCTTCTATAATGACTCTTCTAAAATTTTTGCCTCCTACTTTTAGTTCTTCACTATAATGACATGTATATCTGCTGAATTTTTTTTTCACATCTTTGTCCCCTGTCAGAAATTGTCAAAAGGAGAGTAAAAAATCATTTTAGTTCTTCATTATAAAAGGTATTACAAGATACTGACATTATTCTTTTAGATATAAAACAAGATCTTTTGCTTTGAGAATTAAAGATATATGTATGTGTTTAGGTGTCTTTGACAGCTTGATATATATATTTTTAATTACATTTAGAAAAGGAGCCATCCAGACTCGAGGCCAGATGCAATGTGTACAGGAGTTTGAGCAGTACTTGAAACCATTTCGAGTGGTCTTTGCTTCTAGGTAAATTTTGTCAGACTCAGCATCCCCTATTTGAATAGATGTGTAATAAGGAATGTTGGTGTTTTCTGAGTTTATTAAAATCTCTTTTTATTTGTTTTTTATGGGGATTCTTTAAGGTTTTATAAATTTTGAACCCAAAATACAAAGGTAAAAGTTTTTGTATTTTTCTATGACTTTCTCTAAAGATTGAACTTGAAGGAGAATTTGATATCTAATGGGTATGAATTTCACTAAAATATGCTGTAGTATTTTGTTTTAGTATCCTGTAGTTTGTAATTTACATGAAGTTTAAGATTTCTTCTATTTTCTTTCTTTGCTCTGGTATTTAAACAAAAAAAAAAAAAATCACATGAGGCCTATAGGCCACAACACCCACCTGAGTCATTTTACTTTCCTAGCTAAATGAATCATGAATGTACAGTAATAGAATTTCAAGTCATGTGACTTGAACAAACTTACAAAAAAATAATTCATACAGCATACATGTAGAATACTTATCTATTTATTTAATAGTTATAACCTTGTTCTTTTTAAGTATCACATATATTCCTATGTGAAGTAATGTGGCCTAACCTACATGTACCATATATTGCATGAAAAAAAAAATGAATGTGCACCCATGGAAATGTCTTCATATAATTTGAATAAAAAAGAAAAAAGTTTTAAAATATACATGTTTGTAACCTTAATTTTCATTGTTTCTTGATTATCTCCTCAAATGGGTTACTTCTTTCATTTGAGCCATATCAAATTCCTTACATCAGAGAGTGCAAGTAAATGTAAGGATGGTTGAAATTGGTCCTGTGGTCCTGGAGGGGAAGATGAAAATGTGAAAAATTTAATCCAGATAACCTGACACATTTAATCATTAGACAAACTTTGATCAGAAAAGCTTGCTTCAGAGCTTCTGGCTTAAGTGAATTGATAAGATGCTTGCAAATTTCTGCCACAGTCATTGTGACTCATTTAACTTTGTAAATGGGACGTTTGGGTGAGAAAGCTTACGGGACATGTATTTAAAGTAGATAAATCTGTAAACTTAGTACATTATAAGTGCAAGTTCAGTAACTCTGTAATGCAGAGTATAGTAGTGCTAATAAGTAATGATATTTTAAATGCAATTTTTATAAACATGAAAATCTGATAGTTCAATATAATTTCAATGTAAGTAATTACAGAAAATTGTTTAAAAAATGGTCAGTTGAATTCAGTCTTATTGAAATTTTGCAGATCTCCAGGTTCCCACGAGTTTACTCTCATGCAGTACTTAAATCGCCAAAGGCACATGCTTCATGGATATGAAGGGAGGAAACTTAAACATGTACCAAAGGTGTGTAGCAGAATGATGATTTGTCAATATGTCAGATACATGTATCTTTCACAATCAAGACAAGTAGCTTTGGAAAAGTATATGTGTTTTTTGGGTTTGAATGTTTAGGAAGGGGTGGGGGGAGAGAAAGAGGGAACATTGTGGGTGTTCTGTCCATTACAAAAGTAGTAACACTTAAACATTTGACAAGGATACCAAAAAAAAGAAGAATGGAAACAAAAACACTGAGGACCAAAATCTTTATAATTCATGTATTTGGGTCAGGAGAACTTGTCAAACAGAAATAGAAATGCTAAAGACAATGTGTGTTCCTGTTTTGCAGGTCATATATGTTGTGTGTGAAAAACTTCTTCAGTTGGCTAATTTGGGACAGTCCCTTAGTAAATTTGGCTCGAGTCGACGGACCACACAGGGCAGTATGATATCCATGCAAAGTGAAGACTCAAAAACAGAACAAAGTAAGCGGAGTGGGTCAGATGTTTCTATCAAAGCTTCAGTGCAGAATGGCAAGGACTCCTCACAAATTGCTAAAAGGGAGGACATGCCTAGGGTGGACTCCAAAAAGTCTCTGCAATCCCTGACATCTTCAAAACCACCACTATTAAAACATGGTAGTATAAGTATGGAGGATCTTAGTGATGAAAACTTAAAAACTGTTCTTAAAGTCGGGAAAAATAATGACTCAGACAGTAATTCATCACGTGAGCCATCCTTTACCTCGAGACAGAACAGTGAGATAGCTGAGACATCTTCCACAGATGAATTACTGAGTTGCACCAATGTGGTTTTGTCTGTTAAGGAGGTGGTAGATGCTTTAGGGACATCAGAAATCTCAGAAGAACAGTTCAACCTGGCAGAGAATTTAGAGGTACAATTAACTCAGACAGAGTCTACCAACAGCAGTGCACAAAATTTCTATTTATGAGAGAGTTATTAAAATTCAAAAGAGGAAAAGGTGTATAAAAAGAAGAAATTTTTGTATTTTGTGAATGATCTCTACAAAATTAAATGTGTCTTGCAATAAATTAAGAAATTCCAAAGCACTAATAAATACAGCAACTCACCTTTGTAGTCTTAAGTGTAATACAGTGATAACTATATATAAACATATGCTTAATTTTAATTCCAGACAAAGTTAAATGAGAGTGAGGATGCTTGGCATGACTTGGTCCTGGAAAATGACCCTGTTGTTCTGGCTCAGGTCATGTGGGATTGGCTGGATCATCTTAAGGTATTAGTAAAAATGTATTGGTTTCTATACAACTTGCTGCTTTTAACTGTATCTGAAACCTGGAGCATTTATGCTTCAGTTATACACTTAGTACAAACATTTACAGTAAAATTTGGTTAAAAGAAATTCAACTTTGAAATTTCCTTCCTTATACATATAGCAGAGATTCTTTATATTCATATAAGGAACATAGGAAAGGGGATTTCAAAAAATTCCTTATAAGAGAGATTTTCCTGTAACTGAGTTCTCTCTAACAAAGTTTTACTGTAAATCATTCAAAAAAAGAAGGAAAATGCAGAATTCATTTCTTAAGTTTTTGGAGCAAGGAACATGTTGTTCTCACACCCTAAAAAAATGTCAAGAGAAAGATATTGAAGGGAAGGTAACTTCTGATTTGTTATTGTTTGGTTGTAGGTGCCTGCTCTAAGAGCCCAGGATCTGAATTTGATCTCTCAGTTCTCAGATGACCCAGACACTGGATTACAGAAGTTAGAAAAAGTAGGTAAAAGTCTAAAACGAATGATGCTTATAATATAAGCAATCTAGAGTCTTACAATTGCTTTTTGTGACAATCTTTAATTTCTATTTGACTCTGAATTAATCATCTTTTTAAGACGTAAACCATTAGTTAAATGTTTTTTAATGTCTTAGGGCACAAGATATACTTTGGAGTATCTCATCAAGGTAATTGGAAAACTGAAACCAATGGACAAGCTTACAGAAAACAATGTCATGGAGAAGCTTCTGTCATACATGACACATCAGTGGGTGACATTATCCGACTCCTCCACAGCTGGTAGTATGGATAGCTGGTCAATGTCCACACGAAACAGTGACAGCGTTGATGAAGACCATCACTGGGGGACCATGAAATATGGCATGTCTGCAAAACTTCATGCCTTTGTCAGGAATATCCAGCAAAGTCTTGCCAAGGATGTAAAGAGCTGATCATGACCAACATTTTTACTTATTTTCACTAATCAAGTCACCTGAGTCACTCATGTGACCTATTGCTATCTGTTAATGTTCGTCGTTGTGCGTCATTTAGCATTTGGGTCAGAAGTTCTGGTGTTAGGATGGGACTCTATTGATTATATTGTAAAAATGCATTAATTCCTCGAGAATCTTCTTCTCCGCTCCATGGCATCTAGCAGGGAACCAGAGTACAATACAATAAAAAACAAAAAGTACCTTCATAGTTTTTAATGGTCAGGATTAGGAAAATAAAATTGAGACAAAAATACCGTTTCTTCATTTGTAAATTGAATGCTCATCAAAGACCAAAAGAGGCTTATATGGGAGGGAATGTGATGGGTAAACCATATGATGTTTGTTTAATCTGCATGGTATTGTGACAAATGGCAGTGTACTATCACTGGCAAGTAAATAGAACCACTTTATTACGAGTTACTGAGTAATTGATTAGATATTTTGTTGATTCCTGACCATCCTATTTCTCTTGCCTTAGGGCAATTTATCTTCATCTATCAGTTCATAATGTTTTATACTTCAATGGAACTTGTACAGTGTTGTATTATACTCAGGTGACCATAAAGGCCCTTGGGCTTCTTGGAACTTGCAACAAATTTATAAGGTACACACAGCAATATGAATTCTAGAATAGTGCTTTTAAGGTGTTGTGTTGGTTAAGTGCTTATAAAGGTTCTTTTTTATCTATGGACTTATAATGACCAAAACATGGGGGAAAAAAAGTTGTGAACGCATACAGTAAATTTAGATCCTGGTATGGATGTTACAATATTTCATTTCAGACGTTACTGTAAGGTTATACATGAAACACTTAATTTTGTGAAGACTTGAATTTTTTTTGGAAATTCTAATATTAGTGTGTTTTGTCCAACATGCATGCCAATGTGCAGCAAGTTTTGAGATTCCACTTTTTTCTTAGTTACATTGCACATTGATTTGTTCTTATTCTGTTTTCTTGTTTTGTAACAAAAATGTAATCATTATAAAAAAAAACAAAACCTTGCATTCTCTTGGACAACTGAAATTTTTAGGTCACCTGAGTCACTCAGGTGACCTATTGCTATCCGTTTTTGTCCGTCGGCGTGCGTCGTGCGATGTGCGTTAACATTTGAACATTTTTAGCTTCTTCTCTGAAACCGCTCAACCAATTTCAACTAAATTTGGCATATAGCATCTATGGGTGAAGGGGAACAAAAATTATGAATTTCATGGTCCCTGCCCCCCTGGGGCCTAAGGGGTGGGGCTAAAACCACCAAAATTAATGCAATCTTTAAAAATAATCTTCTTTACTCCTGGACATCAATCAGTCAAACTGTTGGCATCATTGTGATAAGCATTGAGTCCTCTACCAAAATTGTGAAATTCATGGCCCCAGGGGCAGGGGTTCTGGTGCAAGGGCGGGGCTATATAGATCATATAGTGAAAGTGCATTATTTCTTTGAAAATCTTCTTTTTGCTCCTGGGTATTAAATAAACTAACTAAGTATATAGTTATGATGAGTAAGAGTGACTCTTCCAAAATTGTGAATTTCATGGCCCCAGGGGCAGGGGTTCTGGTGTTAGGGTGGGGCTCCATTGATTATATAGTGAAAATGCATTAGTTCTTTGGAAATCTTCTTCTCTGCTCCTGGGTATTAAATAAACTAACTAAGTATATAGTAATGATGAGTAAGAGTACCTCTACCAAAATTGTGAAATTCATGGCCCCAGGGGCAGGGGTTCTGGTGTTAGGGTTGGGCTCTATTGATTATATAGTGAAAATGCATTAATTCATTGAAAATCTTCTTGTCTGCTCCTGGGTATTAAATAAACTAACTAAGTAAATAGTTATAATGAGTAAGAGTGCCTCTTTCAAAATTGTGAAATTCATGGCCCCAGGAGCAGGGGTTCTGGTGTTAGGGCGGGGCTCTATTGATTATATAGTGAAAATGCATTAATTCATTGAAAATCTTCTTCTCTGCTCCTGGGTATTAAATAAACTAACTAAGAACATAGTTATAATGAGCAAGAGTGCCTCTTCCAAAATTGTGAAATTCATGGCCCCTGGGTCAGGGGTTCTGGTGTTAGGGTGGGGCTCTATTGATTATATAGTGAAAATGCATGAATCCTTTGAAAATCTTCTTCTCTGCTCCTGGGTATTAAATTCAGTAACTAAGTACATAGTTATGATGAGCAAGAGTGCCTCTTTCAAAATTGTGAATTTCATGGCCCCTGGGTCAGGGGTTCTGGTGTAGGGTGGGACTCTATTGATTATATAGTGAAAATGCATTAATCCTTTGAAAATCTTCTTCTCTACTCCTGGGTATTATTGAAACATATTAAATACATAGTTATGATAATCAAGGATGCCTCTTTCAAAATTGTGAAATTCGTGGCCCCTGGATCAGGGGTTCTGGTGTTAGGGTGGGGCTCTATTGATTATAAAGTGAAAATGTTTTAATTCTTTAAAAATCTTTTTCTCTGCACCTGGGTATTATTTAAACAAACTAAATACATTGTTATGAGAAGCAAGGATGCCTCTTCCAAAATTGTGAAATTCATGGCCCCGGGGACATGAGTTCTGGTGCTAGGGCGGGGCTATATAGATCCTATAGTGAAGGTGAATTATTTCTTTGAAAATCTTCTTCTCTGCCCCTGGGTATTGCTTAAACAGGCTAAAGTACATTGTTATGATACACAAGGATGCCTCTTCCAAAATTGTGAATTTTATGACCCCAGGTTTAAGGGTTCTGGTGAGAGGGGGGGGGGGGGGGCTTCTATTGATTATAAAGTGAAAAAGCAAAATTTCTTTGAAAATATTCTTTTCTTCTTCTGGTTAAAAAAGCAAAGAACCTAAGTGTATAGTTATGATGAGCAAGTGTGCTTCTTCCAGAGTAGTGAATTTCATGACCCCTGGGTCAGATGTGCTGGTGTGAGGGTGGGGCTCTCGATAATTTGGTGAAAATGCATTAATTCTATTAAATAATCCTGTTTGCTCCTTAGTGTTAAGCAGATAAACAAAGTGATGATGAGCAAACACATGGTCCCCGGGTCAGAAGCTCTGGTGTTTTGGGGGTGGGGGGTTGGGGGGGGTGCTCTATTGATAATATAGTGAATCTGTAGTAAAAATACATTATTTATTTAAAAATCTTCTCCGCACCTAGGCATATCTGAGGCAAACAGAGTAAAAGTTTTTATAAGGAAGGGAATTTTTACCAGATTTTTGAACATCTGGACCATTGGACCATTTGGTCAAGTGTTCTGGTCCTGGCCAGGGCTCTATTAGTTTGTATTCTACTGAGAGGAGTTATTCCCCTTTGCCATTTACTTTTGATAATTTTCACTGTAAATAATGTACTTGAAAGGTAAATAGAATAAGAGAATTTTGCAAAAACTTTTATTGTATAATACAAAAAGTACTTTCATAGTTTTAATGATCAGATAGACTTGTAAGTAGTAGATAAATAAAAATGAGACAAAAATAACTTGTCTTATTAAATATTCATCAAAGACCAAGAGATGCCAATGTAAGAGATTTCAACAAAGGATTAAAATAGTACAGAAGCATTGATAATTTGTTAATATACTGTATAGTGATAATGATAAATGGGGAACAGATTAGAACCTAATTTATGAACTGTTAATGAATATTAAGACCAATTATTTTGTTGATCATGATCACCCTATTTTTCTTGCTTTTGGGCAACAAAGCTTCACCTTTCAGTTCATTTTATACTCTATGCATCCTTGAAATTGTTTTATCATACTCAGGTGACCGTTAAGGCCCTTGGGCCTCTTGTTTTTTTTGCAAGCTTTCATTATTTGTGACATGGAAAATGCATTTGATTTAGATAAGTATCCTTCCAAAAAAAGAAACTTTTGAATATAAGGGTGGTAAAAGAGAAGCAGTGCTTGTATATATTTTTTGTAAAATGACCTCCAGAAGCCCCACACAAGTCAACATGTATTACATACTTTCAGCATTATAATTATTACATATTTTCATTTACTTCAATTTTTTTGGATAAAATTGGTATGTGTGGCACACCTACTCTTGTGAATGCCCAAGGCAGTTGTCCCCCCCCCCTTTCCCCCCTGCCATTCCCCATCAAATTTTACTAAAATTCCAGATAACAGACAGACAAACAGAAGACTAGGTAAAAAGACAAATAAATAGGTCAATTATTAGATGTGCTTAATCAGACATTTAAGGGACATAATCTCCGATGAATTATTATTATTTCTTTAAAGAAAATTGGATTTAAGATGAAAGATATTTAAATTTTTAGACAAACAGTTTTCTGAGAGATTACTAATTGTTTCTATAAATGATAGAAAAAGGAAATCTTATACAGACTGTAAAGGAATGAGTACAATGTATGAAGAATATTTTTTTTTAAGTTTAAAACATGCATAATATACACGCTTTTGTTCTCATATGTAATAATGAATTTCTCTTATGCACGTAAAAAAATTACTTGCCACTAAAATGATTTTATTTATAGAGAGCATATTTTTTTGCTCTTTAATGCGTTTTTATTTAGCACTTAAGTGTATTAAATATTATTTGCTGTTTCAAGAAATACACATATGGTATTTAAAATCTTTGAAAGGTATATATATCAGGAGTATTTTTATAATACTTTCTTGTAGTATGCTAAATTTTGTTACTTTATCAACAGTTCTTTCTTGTTTCAAATTTTTTTGATAACAGGAAATTAATGATTCATGTATGCTAGGTTTGAAAGGAAAGATAACTCTCTAGTGATCTAAGGTTTGAAGTGTTTGTGAAATATTGATACATGTACAATTTTTACTGTAAAATGAGAATCTTTTTTACTCATCCAATTTTCTGAAACAGAATATATTGTGAACTGCATGTCAACATGTATTCACAAAGAATTAATGGAAACTTAGGAATGTCAACAAGTGTTCAAGCACTCAACTATGGCTTGGTCATACCAACTGTCGAATTCTTTTTTTTTTTTACTCAGTTATTTGTCAAAATATGCTACTGAA